TTGAACCTACATGTTTTGTGACCTCTTTCAAAGTGTTTAATTTTGACATACGACAGTAACGTTTTTTCTTTCCCAGCACACTGATATTTTCCATTTAATCTATTCAAGAAATCCATTTTTCTGTTTTCAATTGAATCTACCAGAACCATCTATATAGTAAACAAGTGATGAAATATAGTTCCATTTAAAAAACTTTCATTGAGATAAGTTAATCCGGCTTTCGAGGTAGGTATATAAATTATAAGATATTTCAAAATGGGAACTCATTATACAAACGCGGTTAATGATAATGAGAAAAACTGTGCTGTCCTCATCTCAATCATCTGTTGGATGAATAAAGAGCCTATGGAATAGGTGTCATTAAATTCGTCAGATTCTTTATTTGACAAGTGATGTTAAACAAGTTACGTTTTACAAAGATACGAAGAGCCAATCAAAATTAATGTTTATTGAAAATATTACGAAACAACTTTTCAATTCAAGAGATCTTTACAAAAATCACATCTGTTTTGGCTCATGAGATTATTCGAAGTAGAATAAGGGACAGTTTCATAAAATTTGCCCCCCGTGACAAGATAGCTTCTGCATATCGATAGGATGAACGAGCGAATATAAATTTTTCTGTGTTTTTTTAAAGTACTGTATTAGGCATAATAAGAAAATGTAGTCAGTTTTACCATTGACACCAGGTAGCGCCACCTATTATAACAATTTTTACGTCATTACCTTTGTGTTTAAATGAATAAAAATATTATTTTGATACGCCTCTGCAGAGTTGGTGAGAGAATTATCCGTTGGTCACTTCAAATGCGACGTTGCTAATGAATCACCTTCAATTGAAAATTGTTATAGTATAGAGTCAAATTTTTGTATCATCCCGACTTTTTTCTGGAAATCTCGACTTTTCTCACCAGAGGTCTCCAGAAAAAAGTCGGGATCAAACCAAAAGTAAGGGCTTCGTAGAAATGTGAATGTAAAATATATTTCCTGGGCAACTTTACTAGTTGATTTCTTATTTTTAGAGGTGCGCCTCTTCGCCCATCAAGCACATCTTGGAGAAAGCATACTCGACATTTTTTTTGATATACGAGTACTTCAGCACACTTAGATCAGTTGAAAGTTAAATGTTGCTGAAGATGAATGAGGTCATTGCACCTTCGGCAGTAGAAGGCACTTGAATATTCAATGAGGCAATATAACAAGAATAAGCCGCTAAAAGCAATTCCAATTCCGTTTTATGAAAGTAACCGGGTAGTGCCAATGTTGATGTTAATCAGAAATTCTCGAAACGCAATTAGTGCGAACAATTATTGATGTAGAAAATCGTAAGGACCCGAAATATTAAAAACATGATTACAAGAAATAATTACCTTGTTCGGCTGATATCGAAGAGAGGTAACAACATTTTAACGATATTAATTTATCATTAATTCATTCATGAAAAAAATGGTAAAATGGAGTACACACCTTTGCGTCTTGCAAAATCAAAAGCTCTGTTCAAAGTGGGTGCCGCGCGTGCTCACAAGCGACAACAACGAATTGATGATTCTGAGCAGTGTTCGAAGCTGTTCTACCATAATAAATATAGTTTAAAAAACACGCTTTTAGAGAACATCGAACTAAAAATTAAAAAAAAAATAAATAAGCTTAAAACAAAATAACAAACGAAAAATACTAGTATTATTGTGAAAAAAGCGACGGGCGCCTGATATACAAAACTATGGCACTAAGCGCCCACGCTTTTTTCACAATAATACTGTTTTCTTTTATTCGTTATTGTTTTCATCTTTTTAGCTCGGTGTTTTTTGAAAGCGTATTTTTTTAGTTTTTTAAAC